CTGGTGAACTGTGTATGTGATTGCAAGGACATCTGCATCCTTGCAAAGGGGCGGGCAGGCCTTTTCCATAGCAGTGAAAGAAATAATAATAATTAAAAAAAAAAAAAAAAAAAAAAAAAAAGTGAAAGGCCTTGGAAACCCTTGTCACCAGGGGGCAAATAGTCAAATAAGTTCCAAAAAAAAAAAAAAAAACCACAGGTACCAAAGATAAAGAAAAATAGAGAGATACCACTTAACATCCCTGAGTCCATGACAATGGAAGGAGAAAGGACCAAGGGAGGTGGTCACGTCCTTGTGCTCCTTTTGCCATTGCTTAGGACAGTGTCAGATGATTGGAGCACTGCTTTTCTCACTGTTTCTTGTCCACTTTCACCTGCTTAAGTGTCTTTCCTAACTACAACTGTACTAAAAAATGCCATCCCTTGGTTTAAATAGAAGACTCAGGAATAACTGAAGTTCTGGTCATTCAAGCGGGACATTGGAGTTGTATTAGTCAGGTTATCAGAATTAGCACATAGGAGTTTCCTTACAGTTTATTTTAATTCCAAATCCTAAGTAATTTAAAGTTCTTCTCAGCTCCCATGGCATCACTTGGCAATACCGTTCCCTTTGTGGCTGGTGAGAAGACTGAATCCACCTAACGTGGTGGATGTAGGTAACAATCAGACCTCCAGGCTGGATTACCTCGTGACTTACCCACAGCTACAGCGTTTATCACATATTTATTAAGGAAAACAATGTATGTGTGTAAGTCAAAGTATTAGTGCAAGTAAAGGTAATTCTCAACAAATTCAAATCTAGAGTCTGAAAGTCTTATGTGAATCCTGCTGAAAAATTAGAGAATGGATATGGATATGAAATAATCACATGCTATGACCATCATGCCACCTCCCTGTATAGATTGTACTTTTGTGGAACCACAATTGTTCTGCTGATTTCCCAGTCATCAGTTACAAAAGTTGTGGAGAATTGTTCCAACAAGCTATATTTAAGATTCAGTTTTCCCCATTAAATTTTTCTCCATGTCCTTCATTCATACACGTATCCAAAAGCATCATTATTTTCAAGTAGCTTTCCTACTGTCTGTGCAGGAAAAAAAGACATATTTTTTCACATTAGCTTCAGAGATGGGGCAACAAACACACTTAGAAGAACAAACCACAAACATAGCTATAGCACTAATGAAAAGTCAGGTCCATGGACTACTCATACATCACCACACCAACAATGTAAAGATTTAGCCACATGTGGGCAATGTGGTCATTATTGTGCAAGGAAATCTTTAAACAATGTAAATTTACATACCTGGCCATATTCTGCCTGCTCCTGGCACCTCCCTTCCCCAGTGGATAGACTTGGTTGTGTACTGTATATCGCTGATGCTGTTGGCTCTGCAAAACACTGCAAGGTTTCGGGTGTTCAATTACAGCTCAAGTTACATCTGTAGGTGTCCAGGTGTGCAAGTTAGGACTGTCCTAAGATCACAGTTGCTTACACAGAGATTGGAGATCCTCCTTGTTGCCCAATAAAGAGACAATAATAAGGTCATATATGTAATAAAAAGCTGCCTCTGCCCAACAACTCTCCTTTTAAGTTGTGCTGAACACTGTGCATGGGCAATGGAACATGTGGCACTGGAGACACAGCCTTTTTTATTGCATCCCCACTCAACCTGAGATTTACTGCCTTCTGTAATGTAGCTGGCTATGTTGTACAAAAACACTACGAGGAGGTAAAGTTGACGTGAGCACTGTAAGGTTTAAACTTCAGTGAAATTATTTCAGGAAAAAAAAAAAAAGTGAAATAGATGCCTAAAATATTACCAAAGTAAGTGTTTTCCTTCCTTGGCTCAGACCTCTGTTACCATTTAGAACTCTTCTTTTGTAATACTAATGTTATTAAATATTAAAGTCTTAAGTATTTTTATAGCATGCAAGGGGCATCCTTCTGTTTTTATGGATGAAAGAATAATTCTATCCCATGACAAAACCTTAGGAAGAGGAGCAGCTGTTCAGTCTTGTCCAGTGGGAGCTGTCAGAACACATGTGTCTGTTTTTCCAATTTTAGCTGAAGTACTGAGGGAAATTGGCATTTTCTAATTTATAATGTAAATTAGAGCAGAAAGAAACCCTCCCTAGTCCTTTGGAGGCCATGATTAAATCTTTTTTTTTTTTTTTTTTTTTTTTTTTCCCAATTCAAGTAGGTTCAAAGAGAAGGCAAGTAGAGTACTTCCAACACAGAAAGCAATACACATAAATGCCAAAAAGAAAAATTCTGGAAGTTATTTTCTTATAATCAAGAAAACATCAAGAAACAGAGATCTTTTCTCCCTTCTGTTTCCAGAAATGGAATCAGTAAGGGCTGGTAGGTTTTGTTTCTATTTGTTCATATGAGACAAAAAAATATGTTTGAGTTAGAAAATGACAAAAATGCAACTTCTTCACAACTGGCTATTTTACAGTAATTGGCCTTGATCAAGCTATAGAATTCTGAAATGATGTCACCATAATAGGCTTTTTGCTTTGTTTTTTGCCTTGAGGTTTAAATGGATTCTGAAGATCCTCCTTCCTGCAAGTCTATGGTGACCTCTGTTGTCCTCTGCTGCTGCTACCAGCCGTGTCCCTGTGTTGTCACTACATCCCACAGGATCCCAGTGATACATTGAGGATTACCAGGAAGATACTGCAGGCCATAGTGTCTTAAGCAAGTTTCTGGCAAGGCAACTTTCCTGCATCCAGTCTCAGAAAATTTAGCCAAGACTTTCCTCTCAATCAGCCCCTTGCCTGGCTACCAGCTCGTGGCTGTGAATTCCTGCAGAAAAGAGACCGTTTGGCACAGTACGAAAGATCTACCATGCCCTAGTTAACAAACTTTTGGCCAACAATCAATAAAAATACCATTTTACAATCTATAAATGTACTTAGCTGCTACATTTAAGATGATTCCTGCAAACAAGCAGATCATTTGTATTAGCAAAGTGATAAATCAGTTCCCCAGGGCACAGATCAGTCATAAAAAAATAATGCAAAAATAATCACTTCAAAGTATTTACAGCAGATGGAGCTATATATTTTGCTTTGATCATATGTCACATTATATGCCAAGGTAATGGGTACAGTTGTCTGGGGTAGAAAACTGCTAGTAGTATCATCTAACCAAGGAGTGAAATTAGTCGCTACAAGGTGTTTCATTAATTATTGCAATGAGTTCTCCTGGTCATAATGTTTGTAACATCAATACAAATAGCAATTCAAGAAGATTATTACTTTATATCCATATGGGCATATTGTCTGTGTTGCATCTTCTTTCAGTCTCAAAAAGTATGTTTACACAGCAAGGAAAAGGGTTTGTTTGCAGTGGCTAGCAGAGGACTTTTATCCCTCATTAGAGAAAATTAACTAACTACAACAGTTCCTGTTCTGTGCTTGAATTCAAAGCAAAGTTTGGGCCCATATTCCTGCGAAAGTTTATTCTGCTCCCAAACACTGAGGTAATCCGCCGTGACTATTTGAACCTCAGCCTCCATAACTCACTTGCAAATTCCTAATTACAGTCAGCTTCAGCTTTCAAAAATTACTCATTTTTCTTAAATCACAAACTTTTTTTTTTTTTTTTTTAATTAAGCATCAGTTACTCTACCAGTAAAAACTTAAAGTCTCAGCTTATATTTAGAGATTTAAATGTTAGGATTCTTAAGTCAGCATTGCCAACAGGACTGGACCAAAATACGCCAAATCTTGGACAGCATTGGACTAATGCCTTGGACTAATCTGCCTTCCTGTAGGCCTTACATATGGGGGAACATGGATGGTCCAATACCCTTCAGTGCCAGCAACTTTAGCAGCTGATCAACACACTGGGAGAACACAAAGTGACCTCACTTTGTAGGAAGGAATAGAATTGCTGTGTGATACCCACCGAAAGTAGCACTCAACTCCATTTCTCATGCACTGTTTTCTTTCTCTGTATTTATCCAGTTTAGATTAATCTTTCAGAGACAGATCATGGATCTGATTCTAAACTGTACTGCATCTTTTCTTTTTTTTCCTTTACTAATCTACTTAAAGGGAAGCTAAGGTGTAGGGGGGAGAACAAAGAAAATATGTCAGCTTTGTGTTTAATTATTACTAGTCATTAGTCTGTACATTTAGACACTTTCCTAGAAACAGGCGAGAAAAAATGAATGTGAGAACAGTATATAACACAATTGTTTTCTTTTTTCTAATCCTTCCCATGGAATGCCTATACAATACCTATTTCTAATAAATTTCTAATAAGCAAAGACATCTTCACTTCCATAAAGCAATTAAAGTTCATTCTGTTTCTTGATTAGGAAAAGAAAAAGTTTAGATTCATCCTATAATAAGTTTCTTTTTGGGTCAATATGTAAAAAAAAAAAATGAACTTTATGAATTCATTCTGTTAACTGAGATCTTCTCTTCCGGACATGAAAATGCATAACATGAACAAAATGGAATTCTTTCCTGAAATCATGTATTTGGAGACCTTTTGGGAGGGAAAAAGGACAAACTCACAAATAAGAGATTATATAAAGGAAGCCTGTCCATTTATTTCAAAATCGGAGATTTTATAAAATAAAGTGGAACTATTCACTAGTAGATACTATTTGTAGTACAGAGTAACAATTTCTAAAAACAATTTGCTTTCTATTATAATAACTATACACAAGTATACATTTCTTTCTCACAAAAATAGCTCTGAGCAACAAGTGCAAACATTCAGTATAGACCACTGACTGAGAGCATTCAGAAGAAATATATTTAAAAATACTCAAAAATAGGCCTTCTTCAATATTCTGAATATTCTTCAGTTTTCTGATGCCACTCAAACCCTCCCACACTAGCCACCATTCCCAACCACTTGCCGAAGAGATGCATGTATTTTTAATAGTACATTCCCTACTTACAAGTGATTTCTTTACCCTAGTAGTCCCTCTTTAACTCTTTAGCAAACAAGCACTTTACAAGTTAAATTTCAACTGGAGAACATGAACAAGAGGGACGAAAGAATTTCTTCAGCATTTACACAGAAAAATACGATACATGAAGTGGTATGCCAATGAAAATAAGCTTTGTTCAAGAAAAAAGCAGTAGTTGAATTTATCCGATTACAACAAATATAGAATTATTTGACTTGTATAAGTAACTCAGTATTAAAAAATAAGGACTTCATTATTCTTCTCAAAAAACCAGCAGCACATAATTTAAAAGCTACTTTACTTAAGGTCAATCCAGTCATTTTTAACTAAATGCTTGTGATTATTTGTTATAGTGTAGTAATACCAAGGATCAGGACCCTCTTGTAAGAACTGCAGTCTGGGCACAGAGCAAACGTATTCCACGGAGCAGGCGGTTGCAAGGGTGCACAGGGAAGCAGCGAAGCTGCTGTGGGCGTAAAACACTCTGAGGCCTGAACATGGCAGTGATGGCCACAACCGAGCCCTTCCTGGAATGCTCTGGTTTAGTATTCTCCTAGAGGTAAAGTTGATGATTTTTATTGCCTCTTATAATCTTGTCACGAAGAAAGAAGTATCTTAATCACCAGGGGCCAATTTTATGTTGCAGACACATAACCTTTCATGTTCCCCTCCTGGTGAGAAAGTGACACAGTTCTCATTTGCCATTATTAGCAGTAGCAGCTGCCTGGAAAACGAGTCAACAAAAATGAGGTGGAAGGACGTTTCCATGTCTCACATTGAGAGAAAGAAGGAAATACTTGGGTGTTCGACAAGTTCAGTTATGATAATCCCCAAACTGACATGGCACTTGAGAATAAAAGGGTTAAATGACAGTTCTATCTCTTTTAATTAATGGAGTTTGACAAGAGATGGAGAGAGGAAGGAAGCTATCCTCTTCAGAATATGTCTGTTCCATGTTGTGTTTGAATGCGTGCATAAATCCCATCCTATTGCCTAAGTAGTTTCAGCATTTTTTATTTTGGGAAAAAAAAGTAAAAGGAAAACTCTAGTGCAGTTCCTTTTTCTATGAAGAAGTAGAACATGTAAAACTATAAGCTGAGCAGCTTTAAATTAGCATTATGAGTGGTATGTACCAGTGGCATATTTCACAATAACAGCACAAAATGGAGCTACAAAAGCTTGCGGGGGGCCATTTACTTTCACTGCTCGTTAGAGTGAAGTGGGCAACTTATTTTAAGGGTAAGAGCTTTCAACTGCAAAGATTTGGCAACTTCCACAGACATATTCCAACCAGTAATCTCACCCTTATACTCCAAGCATTCATTCCTTTCTCTGTTGCTCTCTTGATAAAAAATGGAAGCATGTATTAACTTGCTGGAAAGAACAACGGCTTGATCCTACAGAATTTATGTAAGCAAATCCTATCCATGGAGAAGGATTAACTAAAGTCAGTGGCACTGTTTGTAATTGTCGGGATCCAGCTCTGTGGTAATACATAGGCTTCAACTACTTCCAGGCCTAAGTGGTTTAAAGCTGATTTCCATCTCTTCAGGGCCAGATCCTGTCGTGTGTGCGTAGCACACAGCTGGGTCGCGTTGACTTCCACAGAAGTCAAGGAACTGAACACATCTCTGGATACATTCAAGCCTGAGCTTACAAGAAGGGACCCCAAGTACTTGATTTAGCATAAATCATAATGCACTATTATCTCACAACTTCTCCCTCACTAGATGGCTGAGTATGAGAGCATCTACTTGTTCAGTCCACATCCTAAAATTCTGATCCTGTGGGGATCAGTGCAGAAAACCCTAACATCTCCACTGCACTGCAGTAGGCTGAATGGGACACTACTTGGGAACAGGAATGTGAATGGGATAAAGAAGCCACAGTCACATTGAGCTAACCAGATAGAGAGTCAGGAGAAGATATAGAGGATTTAAATGTGTTAGATACCAAATATCAACATGTAAAAAGTTCAGTCTGTGAAAGTGAGCTTAAGGGAAAAAAAAGTAGCTTAATCACTCTGTATATTTTGTAGCTTCTGAAAGGTCACATCACAAAATGATATATTGCTATGCAGCATTAAGAATCACACAACTTAACTGGAGCATTCACGTATTTTTCTAGTCTACTGTCCATTAAGACATATTCTCCTATGTCCAGTTTCCAAATGGATGATGCAACTAATGCATAGCTTAATAGTTATATGCATTATTCAGAATTAATAAATAAGCATATCACAAACATAGATTTTTACAGGTACTTTTAAAGTGGTTTTATAGTTCTGTTAAATATATAGATAAAATAATCACTGCTATATAAAAATCTCTTTAAAACAGCTGAACTCTGAAGCTTTGCATAAAATTCTTTAGACACATTCATTACAATCTATAAACTCAATAAAAATACACTATTAGAGCCCAATTCATCAAAAATATTCATGGCATTGAAAAGTGATTGTCATTTTTTACTGCGAGTTGTACTTGCCCTGTCCTCATCTTGATCATTTCCTTCAATTTGGCCAAAGCTACTTTCATTTTGCTTTTTACTTTACATGATAGTTTAACTCAGTTCTTTAACTCTGCAGCATCTGCCCCATAAATCTTTACTGATTTTCTGTCTTTAATAGTACTTTTCTTTCACTTTCTGTAAAATCACAATAAAACACTTTGCAGTTCAGTTACAGTACCAAAATAGCACTGAGCCATATAGTTGTCTCAGAGTCTTTAACAGTGCTTCTGTGAATATCAACGATCCTCAAGCACTTCCCAACACTTACACTTCACAGTGCACTTCTACCCATAAGTTTGCTTAACAAGAACTGGTTTTGGAAAAGGACTGGAATTTGGAAATTCAACTTCTAACTCAAAATACCAAGTGAGGTGCATTGCAGCTTAGCACTTTTCAGAAAAAAATAGGCCTTTCTTCAGAAAAACCTTTCTTATGCAGAGAGGGCACAGACCTTGTGGAAGACGGACACAGGAATACTCAAAGTGTCCACCAGCCCTTAAAAACTCAAATACTTGAAGACAGTCCTCTTAACAAGCAAGTTAAGGTTAAAGTGGAGGTTTGCCACAGTGGACGTTTCACAATCTGTCTTTTGAAGCCAAGGCACACCAGTTCCAGTAACAAGCAATGTTTTCAGAACTGGGCATTTGCAATGAGGAACTGGGACTTTGCACTGTGGAAGAAGGACTCATTTGACAGATGCAGGCTTACAACTCAAAGTGCACATACTGTTAAGAGCGGGAGCTGGTGCTTCTGCACACATCATGTGTGCAGTTCTAGGTAACGCCCAGACTCCTACTGAGTACAGTGTCTTTTCATCCACAACTGACTATACCAGGATAAAGGCTCTTACTGCTTTATTCGAGACACTCTTACCTATGGCTTTGCTGAGTACAGTACACTGATTATAGCAAAAAAAAAAAAAAAAAGCCAAAATTATAGAAAGCAGCCAAATGTCAAGTATAACAGCCCTATCTAGAAATACTTTAATCTATTTTGCACAGAGGAAACAATCTCCATCTCTTCATGGGATAAACTTGAAAGCTCAATTTCAGTTTACACCTTGGGAGAGATGATCAAGGCAATCGCTGCAGGCTGTTTGACATTTAAACTGCTTGTTTCACTGCTTCAGACACTGTTCATCAATGGCAAGGCAGAAAGAAAAGCCTGGACTTCCTCTTTGCTGGAAGAAAATATTGTGTAATGAACTACCAGCATCAATCATTTCCTCTCACTTTTCTACTCAGTGTGATCATTAGTTGTTTGTTTAGATGAGACACCCAAAGACCTCCAAATTGTGATTAATATTCTGAGGAAAAAAAAAATGAAAGGAAGCAGAAGAGAGATTCTTTTACTGGATTTAACTTTGATAGCTTTCATGTTCTGTGAAAACTCCAGATACTTTCTCTTAAAGACTAAGACACTTGCAAGAACTCAAAGACTCAGCAAAAAAAGTTGCCATTAACAAGGGAGCCTATGAAGAATGAAATGAACTCTGCTGCAAACGAACGTACATTGTTACTTGCTGCTACTGAAGAGCTGCCGGGCTTCAGCAGAGTGTTCACTGGATTTCAGGAGGAAGCTCTAAGCATTTGGTATTAAGATCTATTCATTGTGAGAAAAAGCTTAATGCTTCACTGATATATTTTAGTCAATGTACTTCTTTTACAAAGCACATTGATTTTAAACTTCTGAATTTTCAAGTGGAACCAGCTACCTGACATGATTTCATAAAGCATAATATGAAACTAAAAATGTGCAGTTGACTTCACTACAAGTTACATGGACAAAAGTTATTGCTATCAAATTGACATTGAAGATTTCTCTTTCCTACTCTGGCTAAAACTCTAAATATAATATCCTTAAATGGTCATTGATCTGAATAAAAATTAAAAGATGCCTAAGTGGCACAACTGAGTCTACAGAAAAGCCACAGAAGTCTCTCTAGTAGTTTTAGAGGGCAAATACAGGCTGTTAGACTTTGTCTGTATCGAGTTTTACATCTGTCCATGGACTTGTGCTTCTGCATTGCCTCAGTAAATTGTCTATTACTTTTCAGATCTTTAAAAGAAAGAAATCTTCATACAATTGAGTTGGGAAAAACACAAAAGGAAAAGGAAGCAGATGCAGCCTTAGAAGTGGGGAGGTACCTTTGTAAATAATAATAAAAATAAACAACATCTGTTCCTGATAAAATTATTAAGCTTTTTGAACCTTTTCAAAGATGGCCACCTTCAGTAACATACAAAAACTGTATTTTCTTAGGTATTTCTTACAGAAGAGTCTGGGTTAAGAATTCCCTTGTGATCTTCTAAACAGCAGCTGGAATAAAAGTTCTTCACACTTCTCTACACTGATTTGTTACTGCATGACAACAATGAATTTGAGTCCTTAAAAAAACAAATTCTTCTCTCCAAATAAAACCTCACCTGATTTTGTTACTCCATTTCATTGAATTATAGTCAGTACTCTATGTTAAATTAACTCTGTAACTCCATCTCTATCAAAAACATCCATGAAAATGGTGAAAGAGTATTTCAAGACCTGCTCTTTCTGGTGGGCCAGATTCATAGGTTAAGTCAAATAAAGGACCCATCTCCACAGCTGTAGGGCTCTGCATCAGTGAATGCAGCCAGAAGAATCATTTTTGAAGACTGGAGCTCTGAACTGTTCATATTTCTACTGATAATTATCCATTTTTATTTAACATATTATAAAGCAAGGCACAAATGTACAAAATTGCATCTACGAAATCATTTTTCTTTATATATATTTACAGAGTTGTCTTAATATAAAATGTGCTTAGACACAGTCAGAGCACAGCAGTAGAGGAAAGGAGAGCCTGATAATAGCCATAAATACCAGGTCCTACATTTATAGTTGTGCTTCACCTGAAGGAACATATTCATATGCAGATACACAGAACAATCAGGCCACCGTCTTTTATTTTCCACACACCTCACAGAGATCAAGCTTTGTTGCCAACAAGCTGTGGGAAAAGTAAAAGGCAGTAGACCAGTGCCCAGAGGAACACAATGAAGTAGAACAGCTCTCGTTGTTCAGCGCTCAGAGTCTGCAGAGTTGGAGCTGGAGTCTCACTTGCTTCCAAATCCTTTTTCTTCCTAAAAACAGACAGGACAGAACCACTGTTAACATGCACTGTAAAGACCAGGAGGCCAACTAGAAGACTGCAAGTTAATGAACTATTTCAGTCCAGTCAGCTGGAGACCACACCGGCTTCTGCAGGGCGTCTCTTCATGAGTCAACAGACACAGCTCTTACTCCTCTTGAAAACACTGGACAAATACTCAGGTATTTAATTATATGACATTATAGTAAATTCTTTTGATATAAGCCAACTCCCATCAATCAGGAAGATCCCCTTTTATTTTCAGAGCTAAAAACACAGCTTTGGGCAACACTTGTATTACACTTTAACAATTTTTCTTCTACATCGAGTATCTGATTTGACAACAGAGAAAGATCAGGCTTGCAGAAGGAAGGCACTCTCTTACTTTTCCCAATTCAGCTACTTTTATAGCTTCTCATGTTAGACACCTAAAATGTTAAACAGAAAAAGCCCCAGGCTCCCAGGAACAAGCCAGCAGTTGAGTTTTGAAGGACAGTGCCAAATTCCAACTGCAGTCCATAAAGGCAAAGTACTGTAGACTCTATCTAGTCCCTATTTATTAGGCTAGACTCCATCTACTGTCTAGACTCTACATACTGAGCACTCAAAAGTTAAGGAGAGGTCTTACTTTAAATGGTGCAAGATGGTACACTCATTTCACTATGCCATTTGCAGCATCTTCTAGGTTTTTTTTTAATTTTTTTTTTTTTAATTTTTTTTTTTACTTTTGGAGAAAATTGGCCTGTTTTAGCGAGTTCTTTTTCTGGCTTAGGACATCCTGCTCACTCAAATCTTATAATGATTATATTACTGAGCGTTATACAAAACTTGTTCAATGTCAGCAGTCTACAAACCGACATAACTGCAGCAGCTATTCAGATGGTTTTTTTTTTTTTTTAAAGAATCATAACTGAGACTAGGACACTAGGCTCTGTTAATATTTTGTGTGTTTTCTGCAACTAGCTGCAACCACCATTTCAATATAAAGTTCTAGGATTGGCGTTTAGAGGGAAAAAGTAAAGCTGTGCTGTTTCTTTTCACAGATATGTAAGATCTACTTCAGAAGGGATACATGCATTGGGTTCAGCACCTTCACAGCACAAGGCTTAGTATATGGGAAAATGGTCTAAAATGTTCACCACATGTGGAAAATGCCCATAATCTTACTTAGGTAGCCAAAGCCTAAAAACAAATGTCTTTTTAGTCAAGGTGAGATCTATCAAAAACAATTTTTGTATCTCACACATATGAGAAATAAAAACTTCATGCTAGCACAAAAGATTTCCATTCCAGTCTCCACCATTGTGGTTAATTTTCATTTCCCTTTGTAGCACTGTTAGAAGTACCTAGAAGTTACGCATTGCTTGCAAAAGGTTTTGTTTGCATAAAATCTCTCACCTGACGACTGTGAGCTTTTCATCCACATCTGTCATCTCCTGCTCACTTTCACCAGAGGTTTCCTTAAACAAATAAACACACAAATAAATGAGGACACACTGGAATGTGTTTTATAATAAGATAAAATTCAGTGTCTCGCAAAGACATGATGTGCATGCACTCTATGCAGTGTATGTCTAAAGCCTGCTCAAATGAAATGAAAGTGGTGCTTCTATTTTCCACCCTCATATCCACCATGCATGTCTGATACACAAAAAGAAAAAAAACAGTTTTGTAAAAAAACGAGGAATTTGTTTTATTTTTATTTTGTCCTGGCAAAAGACATATTCTTATCCTTGCTCAGTGTGACCTGACTGTTGGTGCTGCCTCTCCCCTGAAAGTCAAAAAAGAAAGGCCTATGAAATCGATACAACTGTCTTTAAGGTTGCAGTTTCACATTACAATGAAACTACTTCAATGTTTAGCTGTTGTTACAGAGTAGGTTTAATTGCTATTTTAGTTACTTCTCTGTAGGTTTGTTCAAGGTTCAATAAAGTTCTTATATAAATATATTTGATTATACTATATTTTTGGGATGGTTATATATGTTTGAGATAATTCAATAAAAATTTAAAGCTATTCCTGGTTTTGGCAGTAGAATTATTGAATACTGTAGAATTAGTGGGTTATGACAAAGCTTATACGGAGAGTATATACAGATCATATATATAGTATCTGAATTTCTGGAGTTAAAGGATGGTGAAACATTGAGAATAAGATAAATTTCCATATTCTTACCTTCTCAGAAGTTTTAGAAAACCTTTTTCGGAGATAAATGTTGGAATCACTGTAACTAGTTCTGAAATGAACGTAAAAGTAAAGTTTGTAAATTAGTAAATATAAGTTTTGCTTTGACTTCAAAGAGAGCCACTGCAATTGTATATATTACTTTCAGGTTATGAAAAACCACAAATATGCATTCTTGCATGCATTTGAACATATAGATTTGAACTAATCAGCATTATGAACAGTAGTTCAAAATATCTGACCCATAACATAAAAATCCAAACACCTAAATGTGAATCTTTTCTGAAAAGCGGTATTCAATAGGGCTTTTGCACCTGTGGTATCATTTACTTCTCACTCAAGTGAGACTATATCCCAACTTACCAATTTAAGAATACTGAAAGGTATTACAGGGCAAAGAAATCTTGAGGAAAGAGATTGCATGTTTTGTAAACAGATTCTTTCAAATCCATTAGAGTGGTTCATATCTAAGCACTGTCAAATTATAGTTCACATCCCACTCAAACATAGCACCCAACTATTAAACTAAAAGGTAACACAGAATAGATTCAAATGAGCTGAATTTCTCACTGTTTCACAGATGTAAAAAAGGCCAAGAAATAATCACTAAATAAACTAGTTAATTGGACTCACAACCCATGGACTTCTTAGCTAATCTTTTCATCTACATCACAAAAACACTGTTTCTTGGAAAAACAGTTAGAATATAGCTGTATTCTAAATGCTCTGGGATTCCAGTTGTTTTTCTGTGCTTTGACAAATCAAAAAAACGAGGTCATATCAAGTCCACTGGCACTGAACTGCCTTGACACGTTCGAGAGCAGCATAGGTAGAAGCCATGAGTTCAAACAGACTGCTCCCAAAAGAAAGCAACAAGAAATATCGAAGGGTCAGAGCACACATTTTAAGACTAGACTCTCAAATTTAGATGCAGTTATGAGCTCATGTGTAATACCTGGTAAATTCCTGACAATCAGCAATTTCTTCCAGTTTATCTAGTGACAGAGTAGTAGCTCCAACTTTTGAAATCTGTACGTCATTGATCACATTTTTTCTTTTTTCCTTCCTTTTACTACTTTTTTCTGGTGTCTTCACAGCTTCTGACAAATCATCCTGATGATTTTCTTCATCCTATTTAAATTAAGAAACATTTTCCATTAGACAACAACAAAACTTACTCCCCAGCATTCCTGGTAACCTAGTGGAGTTGTCTATTCAGCTGATAAAACGCACACGGTATTAGATTGAAGCAGGATAAAAAAGGAAATGAAAATCCGTACAATACTTCCAGCAAAAGAAATCATTTTTTGAAAATTATTTTGGATAATACTGAGCTACAATGTACCATCAATTCTTTTTAAATAAGAAGTCATGAATGACGTAGTTCTTGGAATTTGACCGGGTTATTCTAGTAAGCGTTAAGACCAAATGTCCAAACAACATGTGGAGCAACATCCAAATTCTCAAAGGGGCACTCATGCCTGAAAATTTCTACCTAAAGTTACTAAGCTGGAAGGCATTTAAGACAAAATGCAAAAACAATTCTCTGTAGGAAGAGCTGCAATAGACACTGTCTAAATCTAATACACAGAAAAGTTATCGAAATTCTCCTCGTCTCGTCCTCCTCAGCTTAGTCAAACCTTAGCTTTACCTCCCTGACTTTCCTGCTCAGATTGGTTTAAAATTTCTGTAGGCAAATTTGCTGATTCCGATTGTCTTTATTGTACCTATATGTAAATTATGTGTATATACATATATGTATGTATATATAGAAAAGGATATATACAGATATACATATCCTTTTCTATATCAATGATATTGCTAGCTGTTCATCTCATTACAGAGCATTATTAAAAACACCCCTTGTAATAATCTTTTAGGCTTTTGGATTATGTAGAAGCTTCAAACTCTTTTTAAAACATCAGAAAAAAATCACATTTATGCAGTATTAGTCGGCTTATTCTTTGTAGCCTGAATCTTTCAATAATGTCTCACCAGGTTTCTGCAATCCCATTCCTTCCAGTAGAGGGCTGTGGCAAACAGTGTTGTGGAACAGGAAACCAAATATATTTTACATAATTTCTCTAATGAGCTTATACAGCAAAGGAAAAGCAAAGTGTTCAGGTGCTAATTGCCCTAATATATGCAAGAAATGTTACTGCTAAGAAAAGAAAGTACCTCAGGATGTTGGGAAATAGGAGAATCTTGAGGGGTGGATGCTTTTTGTTCTTCTTTTTCAATTTCTCTCTCTTTTCCTGTTAGTAAAGCGTCTTCTTTTTCATAGGAATAATTCATGTGACTGTTAGTATCCATTTTTGCCTCCTCTAGGTTTGCAGTATTCACTTCTGATGCAGAGTCACCTAGCTTACTCCCTAATCCTTTCTCTGGAGCATCTTCCTTGTAGTTCTGTGCTGGGATCCCCTTCTCATGCGAAATATCTGTTGCTGAGTCAGAATAAGATTTGTCATTTCCAATATCATAATCTCCAAGACGAGGCTCAACGTAAGCATCCAAAACTGCTGATATGGGAACATTATAATGTGGATAATAAAAGAGATCATGGGGTATTACAGATACTTTCGAAGAACTGGGCAAGACTTCAGCTGAAGACTCAGCTTCATCAACTTCATCCTGGTCTTCTGGACTTTCAGGTACATCTGAGTGAGAGTCATCAGCTGTTTCAGGCTGTGTAGATAGATCTTGGCTTTGGAAATTAGAGTTATTCAACAAATAATGGTTAGTTTCTGTTGTCTCAAAGACAGGTGATTGATTTGTATGCTCATTTTCTTGAGGTTTCAAAATTTCCTGATTTAGAAGATGAAGAACATATGTATGTGTATCTTCTTGTTTTGAGGTATCTTCTGGTAAAAGATCTGAAGCTTGGGATTTGGTCTCTTCTATTTTATTTATGGATTCATCTGTAAGTATTCCTGAAGTCCAAGATGATGGACTCAAAGAAGAAGTATTGGCTGATAGGCTTTTAGTTTCATTATCATATTCAGTAGAGGTCTCTCTAGTTAGTTCTTCAGAGTAGTCTTCAAAAGAGTCTACAGAATTTTTCTGATCTGTCAGAGCAGCTGGAGAAAGGTCATTATTCTGTTTCAGTGTACCATCATATATGGCTCCTTCACCTGGGATCAATTTATCGCTAAGAACTTCCCAGGAGGAGTTGGATTCAAAACTGACAGATCCTGTAATTTTCAGAGAGGTAGGCCTCTTAGGCTCCTCTTCAAAGGCTTCAGGTGAATCACCTAATGCTTTTCCATTACATTTCTCAGGAAGAGTTTCTGAGTGGATTCTCTCTGCGGTATCAGGAATATGAACCTTTGGAGGAGCAGGATGGCTCCGTTCATGGTTAACAGTATACATATTGTCTTCGTTTTCACTTAAAATCAAGATTTTGCCTTCCTGTTCTGAAGGTGTATCTTTAATGTGGACATATGTAGACTCAATTGGAAACTCTTTGTCAGGATCTGTAAAGTCTTCCTATGAGCAATGATACATCATTAAAAGACATATCATACTTACTACAGTTTACATACAATTTACTCTTCTTAAATGTTACAGAAAGAACAAAACTGGCTCATCCCCCCATTACCCTGAGAATAACCAATTAATGACTCACTCACTTTGAAAGTAGGGAAATCAATTTAGCAAGTCAAGTGAGTGGAACAAAGCTCAGCATCAAGAAGCCACTTGTGCAACTCGATCAGAATGCAGGCAAGCCTGCTCATCACGAGTTAATGTATTCATCTCTCCCTGTTTCATCTATGAATGCTTCACAACTGATTGGGCTTTTTTGACACAACCCTTGGGAGTAAAATAAATCTAACAAGCCCAACATATCTACCATGAAACATACTAATCTGCTGGTTTGATTATTCAGTTCCAATGGATTATTATTATACACATACACACACACAAACACACACATATATATACAGAGAGGAATGCTTTTCCTTTGTTCAGCAAAATGCCCACAACTCTCAAGGAAAACAAATCTTGATGCTCTCCCAAAATAATCTTAAATAATTACTAGAATAATTTTAAATCCCATGATTCTAACAATGATCACAAATTTTATCTGCTAGAAAATCTTGCACCAACTGGAACCTTCGGTCAACAAATTAGATGAAATAATTTTAATGTATAAACCATAATGTATAGGCATGTATTCAAACACAAAGGATTAGCCAGCTACTGAATGGACATCAGTCCTTTGATAACCTGTCCACCCCAAAAGACATGATTTTGATCTAAGTTTATAAGTATGATCACCATCTAAAATGACTGTTTTTTTTTTTTTTTTCATATCACATAGATCTCTTTTTTACCTCCAGCTTCCTATCTCCTATCCTTTAATTCCCCAGTAAGTGAATCTTTTCTTAAAAGCCCTTTTCAGAGGGCTTTTACCAGTCCCTTTTGAGGCCTACTGCTCAAAAGGGACTCCTTATTTTTGATAAAGTCTGCATTAAAGTTCTCAGCTTGGGAAGACAGCCCAACAAATCACCATGAAGGGTGATGAAGAGATAACGGATGAAGATGAAGGGATAAACTCCAGTCTTACCCTGAAGCTAACATGCCAAAGTAATAATGTCTTACTTAACTGCTGAAAAGTTGTAGAGCCTTAACCCCTTAAAGTTATGACTGGATATAATTTTTTAAATGCATAGCTTTCTCTAAAACAGTTTAGCAATCCCCAGCATATGCCCGTTTGACTGGATCTTACAAAAATGTGAAAAATTAAAGCAGAATAAGTAGTTTGTTTTTAAGAGCTTAGAAAGAAACCCTAGAAGATAAATACAACAATATCTAACTTTCTTAAGTACACCAAAGCCAATGAAAAAACAGGCCATGAGCCGAGAGTGAGCACGTACCCCTTCCAGCTCGGGGAAGTGTTCCAGAAATTGCGCCACATACGTCACAATCGATTGTTCATCGGGTGATTCCACCATTATATCTATGGAAACAGACACGCAGAGCTTAGTCCACAGTGTTCTACAACAGCTTCCCAGAGGGACACACCTTCGGATATTTACTCTGCCTTCACGATTAGAGAATTAACACCTACGGACACACATCTTTCTCTGGCAGCGCCAGAATCCTTTTCACCACTGATGGCACTCAGGAGAGTCCTCTCTATCTCACTCACTTTTCTTCCCACATCAGCAACCTAATCACTGTAAGGTTTTTGGTAGATATGGCCATGCAGTGTTCATAGACCGATAATAAATTGAATGCTACCCAAGAAAGCTGATGAAGCACTTTACCTTCTGGCTCCAGTAGCCTAGGGACACCGAGCCTACTTTGTGCTATGCTGAAAGCATCCTCCAGGTTTTCCCGAGCAGACTTCTCCAGTGCTGGCTTCATGTCTACCAAAGTCGAGTCTATCGCTTTTATAACGGCTAAGAAAGCGAGGCCGCTCCTCCAGCTGCTGGCAAAGTCCTGAACTGCAACACCGTATCTAAATGCAAGTACATAGGGTTTACATGAGAGCTTTGTTATAAAATGCTGAATATGGGCAGTCATCATTTCCAGAGGCTCCTGAAAGTTACAGGTAATGCTGCTGAGTTGCACTGGTTCAACTTGAGGCCTTTCTCAATTTTGAAAAGCAAAAAGTCCTTTCGTAAAGCACAAGGATTCACAATCTGACATGAACCTTCTTGTAGGAACTAGTCAGCAAAAACAAAGCCCTCCAGTACCCAGCAACCACATTTAACATCTGCAAAACCAGATGTCGGTATGATTCTTGATTCTGTGGCAGCATTTTAATGCCATGTCTTGGGAAAACTGCCAATGCTTAAGTATTTAAAAACATAAGCATAAATGATTCAGATTTGTGAGTACTTGGCCTTCTAAAGTGCAAAATGGTGCTATGCAAATGTAAATGCAAATGGGGCCAATATATGTATAAACCACAAATGTTGTTAGGTGCCCAGAGTTCTGGAAGATAAAAAGACTACCACACTTGCAATGACATACAGCCCCAGAATAGAAAATTCCACATAGGTCATTGGATAAAAGGATTATGATCAAGTTACTATGTTTTAAATACAACAGTTGAAATATCATTTTTTCTCATATTACTTATTTTAAGTTTATACCATTAGACTAAATTGAAAAAAGTCTATGGCCTTTGCATCTCTAGCAGTTTCTTCCTGCCATTAATGATATTATCAGCTTTATTTTGAGAATGAGATTGTGGTTCCTCTACAGTCTGAGCTGGCAACAATTAACTGCAGATCTCAGTGGGACAAATTTATCTGCCAAACAAGCACCTCAACATCACCAGAGGTAACCCAAGAATGATGTGCCCACAGAATTAATATTTGAGATGTAAATTTGCATCCTTGACACTATACAGACAGCATTTGTGTTTGCAAGCAAATTTGAACATGTATCAAGAGATAAAATACCATATATCCAGATCCTCCCACTTGTGTAAGTTTGGCTCATGCTCTTTTAACAACCTCTAGCTTAGTATGTAAAATCATTCCTTTACATAATAGGTAAAATACATGCAGAGCATTTACTCATGCCCTTCTTCCACTAAAGCACTAAAGGACTTCCACTAAGGGCTAAAGTTTTTTAACCTGACAATAACTCTGCCTCTCACTGACACAAAATGCTTTGGCTAAAGGATTATGTTCCTTATTAGAGAAGAGATGAATGTGTTCAGCAAAGAAATGTTCCCAGAATGAAATACTTTGCTCCCAGAATAGAGAGCAAAGATTCAATCCCTTCCCTTCTTAAATTTTGAAGAATCACGGATTGAAACACGGACTTTGTCCTTCAAAGCACTTAAGAGCACAAAGAGCAGCTCTCTTGGCTCTGCTGCTGAACATAGAAGGCAGTTTTTCAAGTCCTTTTTGTTTTGTTTTGTTTTCAGTTCAGCCTCCACTTGCACCTACCCTTTTACTAGCACAGAACACAGAATACCTAATAGATTGTGGAAAAGTCCGGGTTAGAGGTAAGAAGAGTGATTGTGTTTTAGGGAATGCCAAGCAGATTAGATCAAGTTAACATTTAACACTCAAATCATGAAGCCAGCAACATGCACAGCTTGAATGCCAAGACAGTCTCTTTAGATGCATGTGCATAGTCATGTATCCAGTTGCAATACCTTGTGCCTGCAAACTTCAAATGAATAAAAATAAAAATAAAAATAAAAATAAAAATAAAAATAAAAATAAAAATAAAAATAAAAATAAAAATAAAAAGTTAGCCAGGACAGAGAAAGCACTTTCAGCTTCAAAAGGATTGTTGGTAAAATACATTTTCTATGCCAATTCACTAGCCTACTTTCTGGTTTTCCTCTGAACCCAGGTCAGAAGGGCTCTGATGGCTTTTCGCTGATCTTTCACAGTAACAGACATGCTTCTCTCTGCATTTGGAGTGCTTGTCTGAGACGTGTCTGACTCGGGCCCACTGGGCCCAGATGACAGGCTGGAAGAGGATGAGTTCCTGTTGAGGTTGCCTGTGAGTTCTTTAATCTGCAATAAAAGATGAAACACGCAGCATGGTGATTAAACACTGGGCAAATGGAGAACTGAATGTTTGTTCACAGACAACATCACATACTTTTAAGATAACGGAGTCATAAATGAATTTTAAGAGGTAATTACAGGCCTGTCCACTCGACTTCCAACTTTTACTGCACCGGCCTAAAAGCCAGGAGCAGCTGAAGCCCAGTTGGTAGCTCCGGGAATCACAAATGGACAAAATTATCAGATGACACTTAACAAACTCAAATTCAAATTATCAAACAACAACAACAAAAATGTTCCTGAAAGCGAATTTAACGGAAATCATTCCTTTTCTTCAACAAAACTCATTGAGTAACACATATTTAGCCAAGAAAACATGACCAGCACTCTTGTCCTTGGTAAGTCTTGAGATTTGACTATGCTGCTTTCAGGCCCTTCATGCCCCACACTGCCAGAGGACTGATTTTAGTTAGACCATCTCTTCTGGTGAGTCCTCGCCAAAAGGGTGCTGTGCAGTTCTGTGTAAACGCAATGCTCAAGGCGGATATAGTTCAGCTTGTAGATAGATTGTTTTCCAAACCTAATGCCAGTCTAAACTGTAAAAATGAGCCCAAGAGAATAAAAGTGCATGAAAGCCTCACATTCTTTTATAAAAGCTGCTGATTGCCTTCCTTCATCTCTCCCAGTTCAGAGGAATTTGGGCCTTTGCAAAACACAGGTAAACTTGGGAGCAGTTTTAGTCTGAGCCTGAGGCTAAATAAGAACTCAAATTTAATTCAGTTTCATCAGTTCCAAAACTTTAAGGCCCTTTAAGATGTTTTATTTGTCCCTCTACATCAGTGGTGAATTTCTGACACATTGGGTAAGTCTCAAGAGATCAGTTACGCTAAATGAAATTGCCAGCTATGTGGGACCAGATAAAGAAAAGGTTATTGAAAACAGTGACCTGAGTCACAGTTGCAAGATTGCAAGAATTTCATTCAGATCCAGGGAATCTCAGGTGGAATCCTGAGAAGGCACAGGAAAAAGGGGAAATGAGCAATTTGAACCTCTAATTCTGGTCAAACAACTAGGGCCTAATTTGCCTCCAATTTACATCAAAATAATTCCAATGAAGTAAAATGAAAATAGCTGCAGGTATAAAAGTAGTGTAGATTAGGAGGAAATACTCAGGTTTAGCAAGCTTAATGGTGTTCTTTAGGACGAAAAATGAACTTTAATCAACTTTTAAAAGTATTTAACCAGATTTATGAAGATAGATATCTATGAAGATAGATCACATGATTAAAGTATTCAACTTTAATTACCTGAAAAAACAAGATTATATTCCATATTAGTCCCAGTACCAGAGAGGAATTTCCATCTGCTATTTCTGCTGCATCGATGCTAACAAGTTTTACCTGTAGAAGAGATCATAGATAGTTCAAAGAAACAGTAGAAATGCAAAAATAAAATAATCGGCCTGCACTGAGATTGCAGGATGCAACCAGAATACCTCTGCTACAGACCAGTCAGTCTAAAAGCTCGTGGTAAAGGTAATTTGCCTGGTCACAGCTCATTCTGCTCACTGCTCCTAATCTTAACCCTCAAGCATGACCTGCGGAACAGGAATGACCCTCATTCTCCATCCCCAAGAGGAGAAATGCATTTCCTCCAAACATGGGGCAAGATGGCTCTCCCTCCAGTGAATCCTATTCTTAAAATGTAGAGGGCAGAGATATGTCTCCTGTTTACACCTAACCTAAGGTATGGGAAGACTGCAAAATCTGGCCTGGTTGGACAGAATATAGATAAACTCTAGGGAAGAGGTAAGTCACTTCTCATAAAAATTAAATCCTAACAAGCTCTAGGCTCTGCCTAGGTCTGTTTAGTTACGTATCTCCTTTCTGCTTGCTTATCTCACTTTACACAGCTTGTCACAGAGCTCTGCTGAGATCAGTTAGCAAGGGATAGATTTGCCTAATCCAGGCAGTTTCTAGAGTTTCTCACATTGAGCTTTCTTTCACATGATCACACCAGAATGTTACTTAGACAACACAGACTTGTTTTTAGTGAAGGTCACAGCGGAGGAAATAAGGAAGTTGTCGATACTACAAACAACACCAGGACTGAGTTAGAGTCCTTATCTATTACTTGGAAATTCTGTATATGATGAGTCACTTAGCAGCAGTGGCAGGCTTTACCCTGCTGCCCCAGTTCCACACAGGTGCATATTGACAGGTTCCACCTACTGTGGTTTAATATCTAACTCTGAAGCTCTTGGCGGCTGAGGTATTTTGCCAACACTTCCCTGGCTTCACTGCCACCCTTCACTCACTGGTTTGGTCAAACAGAAAAAAGGGAAAAAAAAGAAAAAAAAAATATATAATGTCTTTCAGAACAATCTTCAGTCTTTCCAAGAAGACACCTATAGTTGTTGTATTTCAGAGTTTCACTTTTCTTCCTAGTTTCAAGATATTTGACAGGCGAAACCTTTAATTCAGACTGCTTTTAATAGCAAGTTTGTCCAAGGTGGGGAGCAAAAAAAAACCAAAACCCCAGCAGTTTGTCCAAGGTGGTGGGCAAATAACATTTAAAATTTAATGACATTAGGTTGTTCTCAGTGTCAACTCTACTCTCTTGATGATGCTTAAATTTGTCAGTACATCGCAGTAGAGACAGTCTGTGAGGTATTGGCTGCTTAGTCTGTAGAAACTAAAAACTTACTGAAAAGTTGTTGTTTTAGCATTATCAATTAAAAGGCTGACTGGGTCCAGGGAGAGCTCCTCCTGCCTGGCCCATGTGTGGAGAGGTTCTGGTTTGTGACCTGAGAAGGTCACAACAGGTTCATAACACCCAAGAACACTGCTCTATAGTGTATTGATCAACAGAGAGGCTAAGAACTCATCTGCCAATGTGCCTTATTTGGATTTGGGTGGAAGCATCATCAGGGAAATGGTTAAGAAATTTGAGAATTTATTTCTCAAGGACTCTAGCTGGATGAGCAGATTTATGCTTTCATGAGCAGATCAGTCCCTATACGGAGATTTCCCAAAAGGCAACTTTAAGATTATTCATTCTAAAATCTGTAATTTCTTTTTTATGTATGACACACACATACTTAACAAACATTTCTGCTATTTTTGTTTTCTATCTGATATTATTTATTCCTGTCTACAGAGCAGAGGTCACAAGATTATTCTTTTATGAGTAAACATAACAGAGTATTATCATTTAAAAGGATATGCCCTAACTCCATATTAATTTGGGCTGTCCCAGGCCTACGGCTCTGGGTGTACTGACACTGGAAGATATTGACAGTAATGCTGAATGAATGACAAGGCATTTTCTGATGTCCTGGTTTCCTGAGCTGAATTTTAGTGTGCATGGAACTCATGCATTTATTTTTTAAATCTACAGAGCTTTAGCCAAATCTCTCTCCAACCACTCCATATTTAGAAGGCTATTTCTTCTTACAACTCAAATTACTAAAATTCATATGAGAGCAGAATAAATAGTCAGAAATCAACCTTGAAGAGAGGATTCCCAAGCAGGAAATTATCAGCAGTAGAAATGGCTGAGAACCAGCCAAGGGAGCTAGAGTGTATTCCAATAACAGCTGGTAAAGCCATGGTTAGATGCTGTCACTTCTCAGTGAGAAAAGAGGAGAAGCAAGACTGTATTTCAGATTCTAGATAAAAAGAGAAATTTAAGTATATATAGCAAGAATATGCAGTCCTTTATAGGGCATAGTCCAGTGTTAGTTTTCTCATTCTGACGGATTTGGGAACCTGAAGGATCTGTAATCTGAGGATCCTTCCTGAAGGATCTGAGGGACCTCTAAGGCAGTCGTGTTACACAACTGGGATTTATCTTGACACCATTACTTTTCATCTTTCTTTAAAAGCAGAGACCTTTCAAGACACAGGACACATCCCTAATGCTAAGAACTGAATCATTTCAAGCTATGGGCTGGGATCTTGCTTTGTCACTGACAATTGTGTCAGGTTCTTAGGAAGTGTTCTTCAGTCAGTGATGTTGCAGTACTGCCACACTGACTAGGAAGAAAATCATTGCCTTATAGAGTTCTGATTCCAGAAACTGTGCGTTTATGTCATTTTCTGAGATTTAATTTTCTGTTGCCTTTGACTCATGCTCAGCTGCTGCAGCAGTTTGCCAGATACACCCGTGATCTGTAATACTGAAAATATCTCTAATGAAAGGAAGGAAATACATCTACCTTTGAAGTAACTGAAGTCATGGCACTGAGACTCAGTTCAATAAAGATTACTTGTATTTCTTTTATTTTCTTTTAATATTGGGTTCCTGATCCTTTAATCTTATTGAACTTTTACGTTATAAATTGAACATAAAATTCTTGGTTTTTATACTCTGTAGGTGTTCTCTTTGTGCATTTTATGGGGCTTTTCAGCCTTGCCATTACAGCAGCAACTTAAGGTCACAGCTTCTTCAGAGAATACATACTATGTGCGTGTAACTCCTATGAATATGCTGTGCATTAGCCTAATTATATTTGCAAAATATATTGAGAGATAAAAATAAGACAAGGCTTTGGAAATACTCACATTACTGTCCTCCAAAAACTTAAGCGCTTTGGCTATATTGTTTAAACGAAAAATGCGATGGGTTGAAGATTTGTATTCATGCATCTATAAAAAAAAAGAGATAAAAATAAGAGACATAAAGATTAACAAACCTACAAACACAGAGACAAAATAAAAGCTAAGGCAATCCATATGTATAAAAGTACAACTACATGACCTGCCCTGGCTGCAGCAGAACAGGGTTAGCAATCAATTTGCCTTAGCATCTCCAGATGCTATCGCTCTCTTGGATCAGCCAGCTTGATTAATCATATAATTACTCCCACAACCACACTCAGTCACAGGATTAGCTGAAAATTTATAATAATAGATTTTTTTTTCTCTTGAATTAAATTAAACTATCCTAATGAAGAAGCATGAGCAGTTTTGCAGATACAGGAAAGTGGGAGGCAGAAACTTTCGCTTTGGCAGAGGTGACAGAATTGTTGCATGCCTGTCTCCCTGCAACTCCATTTTGCCATTTTTTTTCCTAGAAACACCTAAAGAAACAAGTTTATCCAGCTGACCTTCCCTCTTTCCTTGCCCTCCTTGACTGTCCAGGTCATAGACTGGGGTTTGCCACGATATGTCTCCCTTTCTAGTTCCCCTCCCAATTCCTCCTCCCCTTCCTCTGGCTCCCAGCGCCAGTCTGCGTGAATGCACATGGAGATATTGCTTCTGTATCAGCTTCCTCAGGCTACATTAATATCAAAAAAATCAAAAAAATGCGTGGATCTGAATGCACGGCCACATTCAGTGGGTATTCAAGTCACAGTATGCAGATGGTTCAGTCACTGTGCAGCATCACCAGTTATTTACAAGTGTATCTGCAGTGGTGACGGCTGCAGAGCAAGTCTCTCCTCTCACCTAAAAATAAGTGTGATACCCACACAGAGGAGAGTATTTGCTGACAAAGTTAAAATAGAAAGAAAATATTTAAGTCAACTGTAAATGATTGCTTAAGTCAACTGTAAATGGTTGCTTATACATTGACCAATTTTTTCCTTTCCTTTTCCCGTATTTTTTCTTCCCTTCCCTTCCCTTCCCTTCCCTTCCCTTCCCTTCCCTTCCCTTCCCTTCCCTTCCCTTCCCTTCCCTTCCCTTCCCTTCCCTTCCCTTCCCTTCCCTTCCCCTTTCCTTCCCTTCCCTTCCCTTCCCTTCCCTTCCCTTCCCTTCCCTTCCCTTCCCTTCCCTTCCCTTTTCCTTTCCTCCCTGTATGATTAGAGAAATATGAGCCAATATATCGGAACTAAATTAACAACTGCATAAAACGAATTCTGTATTGTAATCATCTCAAACATACAATTTATGGATTGAAAAGATAATACAACTAAAACCAGAAAATTTATTCTTCCTTGGTAAAGTGACTTGCATGATCTGCCTGTGAAGTATATGAACATTAATAAGTTTGAGCTTAAAAAAAAAGAGAAGGGGAAGAAACATTTATAAAGATCACACACTGTTTTCACCTCCTTGCTACGTATTTCCTTGAAGATCTAAGTTGCAGCTCAGGACATGAAACCACAGCTTAAGGAAATAACAGTGGAACTGCTGAAATGCTTCTTATTATCCCCAAAATGCTAGACCCATCTCTCCTTTATTCCTTGAATGTTCAAATGTTGTTACTCGTAAGCCACAGAGCTCCATACTTAGGCATGCTTCCCCTTATATACATACCAGCTTTTGTCCTGACAGGACTTCCAGTAAAGCCATCAAGATTTTGCCATCTTGTATATCAATAAATAAATCTCTCACTTTCAGAGGAGGTGTACACTGGAAGAGAAGAAATCACATAGCCATTAGAACAGTAAGCCCCCATTATTTTAGGGAACAAGGAGGAGAATTCTACAAGACAAATACTTGAATATTAAGCTGCAGGAAGAAGTGGTCCACTTCACTTCAGTAGCAATTTTCTCATACGTATAACTAAGCTGAGACTGAGCTATGAGTACTCACATAGCTGAGATCAGAGAGGGAGCTATTCCAGACTTCACATTGCAGAATCTCATCCAAAGGACCCTGTCTAGGTATGGAGCACCCAAGGCTGGATACTGATCCCTCTGACTAACACAGCTCTAGCAGACATGAATCCTACTTTATGTGGAAAGAAACAGGATTCAAATCAAGCCGCTCACAATATTGTTTCCTCTGTAAAGTTTATGGTGGTTCAGCTCTGCTTCCAGGTATTTTTAAAGTACTTTAAGTGACAACTTCTGACATTTTTTGCTGTCTTCTCACAAAACTTCTCCAAATGAAATCATCTCCCCACTTCACAGATGGGTCTAATGTGCACACTGCAAAAATGCACAGCCAAGTTAGTCTCAGATGCAAGTTCAGGTGTCACTTACTCATGTCTCTCTAAAGAGCCAAGACCTTTTATCTACAGTGGGGCAGTGCACTATTGTTTGACTAAGCACAACTGGCACGAGGCAGCAGAGCCAGCTCGTCTTGAAAGAAGGTCCAGATGAAATGGTCTGTTCCCAAAGCAGACATACTGCACTGCAGTTTGTTCCTGAAGAAGAGGACTTCACTTCTGCCATTACAAGAAAGAAGCAACTCTACAACAAGTATATCTTGAAGGATAAAAACAAGAGTCAAATTCCTGAAAGGGTTTAAGAAATCTCTTGTGATTAGACAGAGCTTTAGGAATGCTCTCATTTTTCACCTGGATGCATTTACTTTAACAATTCCAGAAAATACAGTAATATTATCAGCAGATTTTTACCCTTTCTTGAAGAAAGCATTTTTCTGTGTTGCATCATACATATACCTATATACATATATGTATGAAAAGAGAGAACAGAGAACGGAGAAAAAAATTCACATGCCCATAAAGCCTCTAGGACTTCACCTACTTGCCTTGGCAGAATTAGCAGCACTCTATGGCCTTTTTCATGATCTAATTCCTTTTGTAAATTAAAGGCCTTTTTCACAGCCATACATGTGACAACCCTTTTCGACAGCTTTCAAAACTACAGTTAGTTTAAAGCTCTAGAGCCTGATTCATGAAGGAATCACATAACACCTTCTTAACTCTTAGAGACCTTTGGGAGCAATTGCTAGTCAAAACATTACCAAGTAGCCTTATTCTCATTTTCCAATGAGACTTAAGAGGATCCACTGCTGAATAGTGAACTGAAACAGCTGCATATGTGATGCCTTTCTTCTAGAAGCCCTTTGATTTACTATGGCTGATATGCAATCACTACTTAAGAAGGGCTAGACTGAGCGTCAACTCGTAGCCCAAATTTAGTCCTGATTTGGATTTCATGAAATTTAGCCACAAATATTAAAGGCATTGTGAAGCCCAAACTGCAGTCCAGGTTCTGTATGTTGGACTCATGCCTTGACCCTACATAAACCATGCTACTGTTTCAGCAATACTAATGATTTTTTTGTGCAGTCCTCTCATTCTCTTCATCAGGACAGCCCTTCTCTAGAAGGCCAACTATTTGCATGCGTTAGTACCTACCTACTGCCAACAGGAATAGTAAATTAGGTTCAGTAGTCATATGATAGTACAATACAGAAGAGATTAAGAAAAAAATAAGTCTTAAAGTATGATGGGAAGTATAAAAATTAGTTCTCTAATATAGCTGGGTATGTTACGATCCATGATATAAGATTAATGACAATTATTTTTGCTCATTTGGATAGTTGGGACTGATCCACAGTCTGAAGAGCCATACATCTTTGGCTGTGATGGTTTTAACATTGGAATTTCCAGTCCATAAAATAACAGTTATCATCATCTCAGAACAACCTGAACCACATTTCATCTTTTGTAAGTAAATTCTATAGCCTCATGTTAACACCCAATAGCATTAGGTACATACATGTATCTGAGATGAACTAAAACTGAGATGAATACATTCACTGCACCTTAAAACAATTTTCATTACCTAAAAACTTGCTTTCAGCTTCCCCTTCTTCCCCTCCAAACCTCTACATATGCATAGTCAACTTTGATTCCGAATTCCAACTACATTAATTTTTAAAAGAGTAAACTGTAGTGTCTACTGTTGTGTCCTTGTACCTGACTATCCAGACCATTTATCGATCTTACCTTTCCCAAATGTAAGTTTATCCATCTGGTAAAGGTCCTCTTCTGTACATTTTCCCGTTCCACTAGAAATAAGAGACAAAAACACAGCACTTAGGTTTCCAGGAGAGATTAAACTTACAGAAAATTTTCCAAAACTCATATGCAAAAAAAACAGGATTCATGAGAGCCCTGTGAATAAAGCAAATGTAGTCCACCTAGATCAGCAGGCATAGAGTTGAGCAATGGTCTTTTGTTCTGATTTGATGCCCAGACACCATCTATCCAGTTGCAGTTACATTTTAAAGTTGAAAAAAATCTCTTAGCTTTGCAGTCAGTGCAGCAGTTTATGCACGTTCATGTGTGCACAGCTCTGCAGTGATGTTCATCTCTGAGCAAGCAGTTTGACCACTGCATGTCCATTTATAGGACAAGTGCCCTGCCACCCTCATGCAAATTGGGCTCATGTGGATTCCAACGTCCTTACTTGCACACACCGTGGAGTAAGAGTACATTAGGGAACATGACAGTTTTGTCTTCTTGCCTCTGAATGGAAAAGCTTCCTCAGACCTTCCCCATCTTCCAGCTAGTCATTTTAAGTCAAAATTCCCAGTCTCTACATCAAAGAATCATTTTATTTATATTGCAATAAGACAAGGAGCGCTTGTTCCTTGCCAGAAGTGCTGTATGCTAGGTGCTGTACAAATAACTCTTGTGCCAGCTGCAGAGTTTTTAATCACATGTGCCATTTCCTGAATCCATTTCCATAGTGAACCAGAGTAAAAGTGCAAGAGGAATCAGATTTCTGACCGACTTTCATTTATTTTCTAATATAAAAGAGTAACACATACATTTAATATAAATGAAGCAGACTGAAGAAGTAATATTTCATTTTAGAGACAATTATTCTCAAGTGCTTCTCAAATTTCACTTCAATTAAGGAAATCTGGCAATTTATGAACAAAAAAACATTAAAACCGGTTATATGCTGTATTTCAATTTACTCAAAGAACATATCAAATATATTTTAAACCCATTTTGTGTTTCTTCAGCCCTAAGAAAATAGCTAACCTATCTACTGGGAAATCACATTCTGTAAAAGTCTGACTTGTTTTTATTGGTCAGGCTAATTATGGGCTAAGTAGTAGCTTCCGTAAATCAAATTTTAATATTGTCCTTTTTGATCATTTTAACTCAAGAGTCAGCAGCCTCTAATCATATATATAATTGTTTTCCTTATTTTGATGTATTAGAATAGAGCTTTCAGCATGAATTACATCCGTCATTGACAGCCATTCAGGCCTTTTAAGCCCCCTTATTCCTGTAAAACCTGATTTTATGTAAGATCGAATTTAAAAAAAAAGTCATTACCCTTTAAGTGCTTTAGAAAACACAGACAATGCCAAACTAATTATTGCTGTTGGCTTTTCGTTTAAAATATTTTCGAAGAATGTGCACAGATTTGAAACAGCTCTCCACAAATGAAACTGTAAATTACATGAGGGCTCCAGAACATCAGTAAAATAACCACAGCATTTACTGCCTACAAATCTCAAAATACCATAAACTCAGAGCTGTGTCACGTCTTTCCAGGGCTTTTCTTCCTTTGGCAGCCCAACCCCAGACGTGGCTTCCCCTGCTCTCACGCACGCCCATCTGTATAGAACAAGTGCTATGGGCCACATACGGCGAAGGGCGTAACTTCAGCAGCTGATCTCTTTAAAACTAACCTTTGAGGGTGGGTGGAAGTTAATGTTAAGCCAGATCTACTCCCAGATACACGTCTTTTTGATCAAATAGACGTGCAAAGGAGAAGCACAGCGAAAGCAAGAATCATCACAGGAACAACAGGCCACCTCTTTCTCACGCTGCCGCTTTCTTACGGTAGTCTGCAATGTTCAGGACTGCTCTGATGGGCACTGCAGCGTTTCAGGGAGGACAAGAGGTCTTGGAAAATGGGCTGGCTACACAAATTTCCAATATGGACCAAAACCAAAGGGAAAACACAGAGAAATACAAGGAAGCAAGAAAAAGTATTTTCTAATTTCAACAGAGGCTTAGATTCAGTGAGGGTCTATTTTTCTATTTTTCACCAGTCCCCTTGGCAATCTTAAATTTCAGGGTAAATAAGGATGCGAGAGAGAGCTGTGTTTATTTACAGATTACCCACAAACCAGAGCACTTACTGGCTTTTAATTTTGCTGCACAAATTCTGCCATCAATGCAAATTAGAGTCTCAGGCACATATGGCTGAAAGGGTGGGCAGGCCGGGCTAGTGTTACTGCTTCGGGATGTTCATGCACCAAAGAAAATATAAAAATCCCAGGAATGTTCAGGAAAGCACATGCATATGCACACAACATCCTGACACTATTTATTAAATATTTCTACAGCAAACACACGCTTGCAGGTAAGAGCAACGACCTAGAGCAGACACTATGTGATTCTGTAACAGACTAAAGTAATAGTAACTGGATGGCGAGGAGAAAAGGGGAGGAAATGTGTTTATAAAAATCCCTAAGGCGGACAAACCCCTAATGCAGTCCATATGCTTGACTGGAGAGTTAATGGGAAAAGTGCAGCACAGGTATTTATTGATGTGTGCCTTTAACTGTTATTCTTCGCTAGCTTTGTGGACCTCCCAGTCGTGGTACGGCCTCTCCTCACCACAACTTTTTCATTTGTGAGGATTGTAGAGACTCTATAAACTTTATACAGTTTCTATAAATTAAATGGAAAATTTTTTTCTCTTTCGCACCTACTATCGTGTAAAAGTGCAGAAAATCATTCAAGTCCAAAGATCCTACTCAGTTGTATACAGCTAACAGAAACTGCAATAGGTTTACTGGGCAGCTAGAGAGCAATAACACCATTATAAAATAATAATTACACATACCATATGGCAGGCCTGCAGACAAAACCTGTGCGTGATGCTGGAAAAGAAGGCTGCCTGCTGTGAGGCTTGAGCTCAAAGATCTAATGCAAGAATGTAGTAAAAAGCTAGAAAATGCCATTTTGGTTAAGCTCAGGTCAGCCCTTGTCATAAGAGACAATTAAAAACACAAAGAGAAGCGCTGACCACCACACAGCAATTGGGCCTTCAGTTTTCTCCCAGTGATCTCAAATGCAGCATGGTCTGGTGCTGCAAGGCCCTGATACCTATGCCGAAGTGCATGGGTACTGCACAGCTATTAGATACTGTAATTTAGGGAGTAAGACAACCCTACCAGGGAAGAAGGGTGTTCTGGCAGGCTGATGAGCCTCCTGGAGCCTGTGCACATCTCTGCCTTGCTGCTGCATCCTGGAGGACAGCGAATTTGGTTCAGGCACAACATGTGCACCCAAGCCATCTTGCAAATACAGAGTCACAAAGACATATACTCGGGTTTGTGAAACCATCTAGCAAAGGAAACTCATCTATCACAGAAGAAAACCAAGCTAGTTCAAAGACCACTTGCAGAAATTCAAGGCTAAGTTTATATGAAACAATAAAAGTAAGTCCAGCTCATCCCCTTCACGGCACTATTTCCTTCCCTACCAGCCTAGAAATTGCTCAAGCCTTCACTTCTATGCCACTTCTTCCTCTTTCACATCTCTCCTCAAAGGCTATTTGTTGCAATACCACTAGAAGCCACAGCCTCTACATTCAACAACAAAGTGAAGATAGCAAATATTGATTTGCTTTTAAATTATGTTTATTCTTCTATTGTAGAACCGGTTATGAATAATCCTGTGAGACACACCACCATGGGGCTGGGCATAGTGAGGAACTAGGAAAAGTGGAAAGTGATCTGAGTGGAGCAGTTGTCTGCATAAAACTGCTTCATTTGCATGCACGGAGATCACTCCCAAAGCAAAGGAAAAGGTCACGTACATTTGCCTCCATGGCTATTAGCATTTCAGCCTCGATATCATTAGCAGATGAAGAACCATCATAACAGGCTAAGTTAGCTTTTAGGTTCTTACAATATTCCTTCAAGCCATTTCCTTAACGGTTAGTTTTATAGCATGAGCAAAAGTCAATTCCTAATTTCTATGTTATAAAGTCTACATAAGATATTTATGTTGTTAACATTAGGCAAGTTTTCAAGAGGGAAATGGTGGTGTTGGCCACCTAACTGTGAAAAAAGGGTGCTTGGCCTGCCCTTGACTTCAGAAGCAATTGCTTGCAAGCAGAATCATGTTACATCCATAGTAACTGCTGGCTACCACAGAACCAAATCCTTATGGTTCTGGAGGTCAAGAGTCCAGGTATCTGTCAGGGTCTTAGATCAAGAGAAATCAGCACTTCTCATTAAACCACAACAACAAAAACATGGGCAAATAGATGATATTTAAACACTTCTTTGGCTAGCACAACTCCAAAAAGGAACACGTGGTTCAGATACCCAGCACCCTGGGAAATGGAATGTGAATTCCTCAGCTTCCTCCTTCCTCACCCCAAAAAACTCAACTCGCACAGCCAAGTAATCAGTCGGTCTCTAATGAACAGCAGTCCCATTTTGAACCACTCAAAGTCAAGGTCACTAATAAAATGAGAACTAGATTTTAAATTGGGCTTTATGGTGTACCTAGCCTGTGACTCAGCCTAGGCATTTATGGTTATTAGTTTGTCATTGTATCAACTTTGAATATTATTTTCTCTGTAAATTCATGAAGGAAGTCAAAATGACATCTTTTGAAATCTATTTTATCTAAAATTGAACTTACGTTGCCCATAATGTTCCAAACCTCCTTGCCCTACAATGTCTCAAACGCTGCAGAGTGTTTCCAGATATAAAAGCTCCTTTTTTTTTCTAAACTTTAAGCATAACAACGAGGCTATCAGCACTACTGTTAGCTGTGAAATGCAATAGCTTTTGTTTTAATTAGGTACATACAAAGGCACTGAACAGTCAAGCTGAATTACCGTCAAACCATCCAAAAAGGTGATTTCTGATTCACTTCTGCACCTAATAAGCTTCTATATAGAGAGAAGCTATTCTACCATTTTTGCCTATATAGATGCAAGTAATTGCATATGTCATCTGGACAAATAAGGACCAAGACTTTATTTACCAGTAACATTAGATATAGGACATTGATA